GCGTTGGTGGCACATGCCTTTAATCCCAGCACTCAGGAGGCAGAGGCAGGCAGATCTCTGTGAGTTCGAGGACAACCTGGTCTCCAGAGCGAGTGCCAGGATAGGCTCCAAAGCTACAAAGAAAAACCCTGTTTCAAAAAACCAAAAAAAAAAAAAAAAAAAAAAGACTACCACATACCCTCCCTAAAACTGTGACTTCACTGTGAACCTCCAAAGTTCTGATACTCAAAACTTTCCCTTAATCCAAGTAAACAGTTTCATGTACGTATGCCTTGTAAGATGATCTAAACTCTATATAACTAATCATGGGTTGAAAATATTGTTAAGTACATAATGCTACTACAAAATAGTAATTGAAATGGTAAGAGGAAGGCAGGATCGTAGGTGTCATTAAAGTGTTGGTGGGGTTCTCATCAGTGTCTTACCTAGCATACACTAAAAGTCTCAATGAAATACTTTATGTGCCATATTTAATATGTACTAATTTTGAAAAGTGTTAAAAATCTTAACTCTGATCATAGCTGAGCTGAGTCTACCTTAAATGTGCTCAAAAACTCTTATTATATTATAGCTAAGTAAAATAACTGTATTGAATTGACTGGGAGCTGAAGCTAAATTCCACTTCCCATGTTGAGGGGAATATCATATATCTCCAGCCCAGGAAAAATACCCAAATTAAACATTCAAAATATAGTTTCTATTGAATTTATATTACTGCTGCAAAATTGAACAATATAAACAGTTGAAGGTAAACTCAGAACCATCTGTAATTAATAAAACAGCATGTGAGACACACACACACACACACACACACACACACACACACACACACACACACACACACTATCGTAAATGATGACGTCTTCCTGATGTAATTTTTTTCTTATACATTTTACAATAAATTTTTTAATTCATTCAATTTAATGTTCTCCCTTTATATGTTCAATACTTTACTACATCTTTTCAGAAGACTTCTTTCTCTTAAAGTTTGCTAAACACTATACAATTGGAGAAGTTTCCTCTCTGAAATAAATAGTATCAGAGACTCACACTCACCTTTCTGAGGGAGCCTTGTTTTTATTAAGTTTTTAATGCG